CAGAGAAGGGCTTCCCTCACAAAGACTTCCAGGAGAAATGAGGCTACAGAGAGGGAGGGGAGGGGATTGCATTTAGGCTTTTCTGCTGTGTTTTGTTTTGCCCATATCTGAAAGTCTCCTGAATTGTCTAACAGTAAAGCAGATTAAGGACTAGGGGTGTTTAAGAAGTGTGCCTTCCTTTATCTGCCACATGACCCCAAAAAGCTGAGCTATAAAACGGCGCCTACATCACTGGGGCATCACGGAGAATGCCCAAAGGAACCGAGACTGCTTGAAAAGGCAAAGCCCTAGGCCTGGGGCCTAGAGAACTGCAGAGTCCCAAGACCAAGGAATAGTTTTACACAGGGAGTCCTCCTGTGCCAGGTGCTCAGATCCGGAGACAATTATCTGGACCTTGCATAGACCCAGCTGGGTTGGAAGCATGTGGGTCCAAACAGTCTTGAGACTGTCCCACAGGCAAGACGCTGCCAGGTCTATAACTGAATGATCACGTACCTAACCAGGAGGACTCTCATCAACCTTGTGGGTCGGAGGCAGATGCCAACGAGAACAGAGCCTGGCTGCAGAGCTCTTTAAAGTTCGATTAAGAAACACCAAGCTAGGCGCAGAATAAAGGGGGTCAACAGGCAAAGGAGGAGAGGGTGAGCAAACACGGGCTATATTTGATACAAGATGTTTTCTATCATGGCTCAGCCTGAAGGTGCAATGGAGGCTTTTCTTAGCTGTTCTGGGCCAAGCTCCACTGGCCTAAGAGGACTCACAAAACAGGGAGGTGAAGCCTGATGCGAATTCCAGGGAAGCTATTAGTTTTACAAAGCACGAAGTGCCTGGTTTCATTAAAATTATATATACATCCCAAAACACAGCTCAACGCAAACTGCAGGAGCCTACCGTAACACAGGGGTTCAAATGGAAACATTTCTCCAGGTTAGGGACCTTAAACATGACTGATATGAGAAATTCTGTCCATAATGCCAAGAGCGAATTGCTGAGACAAACATCTCGCAGTGAAAGCAAGACGCAGCAAGAAACCCTAGAAAATCCAACAGGAGTTAAACATGTTGGTGTGCTGCCCTGAGGATCTGGTGGCAGAAATTCTCCAAAAACAGCAGTCACAACACTTTCCCAACTGGGAACAGAAGACAGGAGAACATGGCAGACAGCCTAGGCTTGCCACACACAGGTTAGTATCCAGCAGCTACAAGCTTATACATTTAAGCCACATTAAAACCCAAGCGCCCGTCGCCCTGCTGCAAAGCACACCATGCAGAGCAGGTGAAGGGCAAAGGCCTCGGTGCACAGACAGGAAGCATGGAGCAGACTGAAAAGGACAAGGCTGCAGTGGCTGCTTTAGCTTACCATACGTCTCGGATCTACTCTCCTCCGAGCTAGACTTTGTCTTCTTGGAGGAGCTATCTGCATGAGAGCAGGAGAGAAGGAGAAAGAGAGATATAGAAAATATGGAGACCAAACATGAGGAAAAAAAAAAAAAAAAAATCATTAAAGAAAAAAACAAAACCCAGAATGATTTCTGTGATCGGGTTAAATCGTGCAAGACACAAATAAGGCATGAACACCACGCAAGTGGGAGCACTTGGAGTAAGGTGTGAACACAGGTAACACTAGACAGGAAGGGCCCGTCACAGAGTACTAAATGCAACAGGTTCTCTCCTACGAGCTACGCAAACTGCTCAGAATAACAGTGCTGTGAATGAACACCCTCCAAGACACCTATTGCCACAATAAACAGACTTTGCAAAAGACTGCACAATGCTCTGAATTCACCTTCCCCAAAGGCAGGTGTTATGGAGGCTGCAACAGAGTCCATCTACCAGACTAGACACCAACCAACGTTGGAGCAGGCTGGCAGCCCTCAACCAAAAGGAAGGCATTTCCAGGATCCTGAGAACTTCACCCCCCTCCAAGAGTTAGCTTTCAAACACTGTTTCTTGAACCTGCAGTTCAAGATGCTGCAACCTTCTCCCAACTCAACCCAAATCAAAGTATGTAATCTCCCCCACCCCTAAAAGCAAAGAAGACGGAGATAAACATTAGATGTAGCCTCTCCCTCCCTCTCCCAGTGTATTTTTTTAAATGCACTTTAAAAATCCATTTTAAAATAATCTGTTCTTTGCACGAGGGAGGAACCATGCAGCTACTGGTAGAAGTGTTGCAACAGTATGATTTGCAACGTCAGCTTGAACTGCTGTGTACAAAAACACGTCCTACAAGGTCTACAACCCTCAGATTCAATTCTCCTCTGTCCTACTGTCCCCAAAGGAATTAGAGGGCTCAACAGTGGAATTCACAAGCATGAGAAGCACACGCACTGCTTGGGCCAGGAGGCTCCCAGGACAGCCTGGCAGACAGGTCTGCGAACACACGTAACAGTCACTGGGTTAGTTGTTTAGGAGGATGAGGAGGAAGACTCTGCATGCAGCCTAAAACAAGAGACAGCAAGAGACTCTGGAGCTGACAAAGATAGTTCAAGGCTTCAGGGAAGGTACAGAAAGAAAAAAAAGGAAAAAGGGAAAAAATGTACATGTCCAGAAATACTATATTTTTTTAAAGTTAAGTGCTTGAAAGGGTAGACTCATCCCAGAGATCGCAGGGGGGGTGGGGGGTCAAATGCAATGAAGTTTGAACTAAGTCACTGCTCAAGACCCACAGGACTTTACATATCCACTTCTGCTCCACTGAGTTAGGAAAAACCAACTCTAACCTACAACAGTCAGCATGCCAGAGGTGATATCTTTTATTATATCAACCAGACCTACAATATTCACTAATGGAAAACCTGGGACACATCTTGTTTCTGAACTCTATTTCTGACACCACTGGTTTAGATCTATTTTTTGCCCAGCTGAAAACCCATTAAGCATAATCATGTTGTTCACATTCACTGAGATGTCCCAGTGTGTCAGAAAGCTTGTGCAAGTACTGAATAGCACCTGAATGCTGTCCTTCTTAAAGTGTCAGAACCCATCTCCCCCTCTACCCTACTATCCTGCAAATACTAGAGCTGAAATATGTTTTGAGGACTTTACCTGTAGGATCAAAGTCGTGTGCACTGATGCAGCGTTCAACCTTCTGCTTCTTGTCGGCTGGAGACTCTCTGCTCAGAATGCTGCCATGCCTGTGTCCAACAAAAGCAATCAATTTGGGATTGCATCAGGGTGAGGGAATCAGTTGGATCTGAAACTTTGTTACAAAAAGTGGGTGACTGTATCAGAGAAGCTAACATCCCACCCACCTTTGCAAACACTCAAAGCAATTAAGCTCTTTCTTATGATCCAAGCTGTTGCCAAATTTCACTTTACAAATGAATTCAAGTTACAAAGGGGTAAAGGAAAACACCCCCTTCTCTCCAAAAACATCAACAGCGCCCTAAAAAAACCCCTCTAAGAACTTCATTTTAAAATAAAAACAAAAACGTTGGAGCAAATATTTAAGAGGCAAAAGCCTGTATAACAAGTACCAACCTACAGTCACTTCCTACGACCATCTCAAATCCTGAATGACACCAGCCGCTGCGCTTTGCTGACATGCAAAGCAGTAACACTATACCATCCATGCTGGGTATGTCGACAATTATATTTTGAGCTAACTGTCCTGATCTAGGCATTTCACGGCCCTCACTCAGCAACGGATACTGATTCCTAATCTATTTTTGTTTTAAGTAGTTTACGGCATTAAAAAGTTATCAGCTTGCAGTATAGGTGAGCAGGAAAATTCCAGGTTCTTACCTTGTAGGTTTTTTGAGGGGAAACCTGAAAAAGAAAAGAAAACAACGTTTAGTGAAACACATTTTACTTCCAATGCTTTTATTCCAAGCAAGAATAAGACTATGTTGCCCTTCTGAAGCACCTTTCACAGAGATCCCCGAACCCTCTGTATTTCCGCTTCAACAAAACAAATCCTCGTGAGCTGATCATCAGCCTCATTTTACAGTTTGGTAAACTGAGCTAAAGGTCTGGAGGACTTATCCCAGGTCTCCCAGTATCCCAGCAGCAAAACCAGAAGTACCAGTCTTGAATCAGTATCAGAACTCCAGGGCTCTCAGCACTACAACACCGGCTCGCAACCTTTTTGGATTCAAGGCACCCCTCCATAAAACTTTTGCAAACTGAATGGCACCCAATTTCAAAAAATGAATTTATTACAGTGCTTACTGCCTTACACAGGGGCTGGACGGTAAGGGTGGGGGATTGTCCAGGCAGGGACAAGCCTACGCCTGGCTTATCTCCTCACACCTCGTGGCACCCCTGGAAGAAGCCGGGGGCACCCCAGAGTGCCCCAGCATGCCTGGGCAAGAATCACTGCGTTCGAGCACAGGACCTCCCAGATCACCCCCTCTCAAAGCGGGGAATAAGTGTTCAATACCACGTAAAGCCAAGGGATGGGAATCAAAGAGACAGAGGTTCTGCTCCTTCAACGTCTGGCTCTAAAGCTTCAGCATCTGCAAAACGGGGCTCACGTTTCCTTATACCTTTAAAGTCTTAGTAGGCAAAATGCATTACCATTTGCCAAGTGCTTCTAAAACCCTGGCTGGAAAGCAATACAAAGTGATATGTTGGGAGGAACAGAAAACTTCAGACACATTTTTGTCCCAGTTTTTTTTCACACAGCTGTTACTTGGGCCACCTCAGATTATTAGGACTGAAAGATTAGAGGGAAAACATTTTCCTCTTTATTTTCCCAGTTTGTTTACTACTGGCAGCTTCTCTTGTTTATCTGGGTTTTTACACAGCAGCAACCAAAAGGGGAAAAAAAAAAGACTAAATTAAAAACAGGAAAGTATAAAGTAAAACACCACAAACGCTGGCAGGGCCTAGCACTACTTTTAACTCTTTCTTAATCCAATTTTTAGAACTGGATAGACTCAAAAAAATAAAAGGGCTGGTGTATAGTCTCACATGATAAATTCAGGTTGGAAAGGCTTTTTTTTTTTTTTTTTTTTTTTTTTAACACAGATGGTTGGGGAGAGCCCCTTT